TTGTTATTGAAGAACATTAATTTAACAAGTCACATTAATAATAAACAAATCGAAATATTCATTTGAGACGAAGGTCTGGTGCAAAAATTCAATTGAAATAAGAATTATCATTTATTTATTACAATAATTGGTGTAAAGAAATTTTTTAAGAGACAATCAGGTTTGACATAATATTTGATATATTTATTAAATAAAAAATATTTAATTTTGCGAATTACTTTGATATCATTACCAGATATTTCCTAACATTTGATCCCAAGTACCTATCAATAAATAAATTATCTCAGGCCTAAATAATTGAATTTTGGGGGCTTGCTTTAAATGCCTATGTAGCCATCGTCCCTTAAATAAAAATATGCCATCACCTTTGTTAACGGAAAAAGTTAAATATAGAGTAGTCGGCTTCGACTACCTGAGATATCCCTCACAAGGTAATCTAAGATTTTTTGCAATATACCACAAGTGCTCAAATGTGTATATTATATCTTAAATTATTTTAGATTTCTTTGTTTTACGTATAGAGAATATTATCGTCGACAGTTAGTCACTCACAACAATTTTGTTTCCATAGCAAAAATACTTATTTTTTTATATAGTTGCATAAAAATGTATAAAGCTCTAAATGTAACAATTTTTTAAAATGTGTTATATAAAAATAAAAAAAAATTCTTCATAGTTTTATGTTTACCTATAATAGAAACTAAAAATTTTGAGGTTACTTTGCGTTTGATTATTTTATGATATCATTTTATATTTTTTCAAAAGTGTATGTATGTGTATAAGGGTGGTCCGTAATATGGACGTTTTCGAATTTCTTTGTTCCCAAGGGCTCCAAATTGATAAAAAAAACAATTATCTGAAAGTTTTAGCTCTTAATATTGTCTTTTAGATAGAGCGCAATTCAATCAAAGTTTTGTATGGAAATTGCATAAAAAGCACTTGGGAGCTTAAATTAGTTATTTTTGAATTTTATATAGTAACAATTCACAAGAAGTAAGAAAAGCGATTTATATTTGTATTTTTTTTTTGATAAGGCTAATATTTTTAGCCTTTTTATTTACAAAATATGAACTAACAAAACATTGTTTAAAATCAGAGTATATAAAACCAAAAATGCTCAGGTGCAGAATTAAATAATTAAAATGACATTTAAACATACAATTAATCGATACATTTTTCAAATTATTTTAGATAATTTCATTGTATTGCCTATGATTAATTTTTTCTGTTTTTAATTTTATTTTTGGGTAAACTACTCTATTTTTATAACAATATATTTAGTTTTTATGATAATTAATAATATTTCTATTAAATAAAATGAAGATTTTTTCTAGTTTTTTCAACGTAAAATTTTTATTTCTTAGTATTTGTAGTACTTCTACTTTTCCCATTTATGCGGCTATAAATCTACAAAAATTCAGCATGTTTAAACATCCTCAGATCCTGATTGAAAAATTAATGAAGCAATTATTTTATCTGAATTTATATAAAACAATTTCATTTTTTAGATACGATAATAAACGTTTTATCATTTATTTATGTTCATTATTCATAATATATTCATTCATAATATGATTCATAATATTCATTTATCATACTGTGAGTCTTAGTATTTATTTGAATTAGTATATTATTTATTTTGAAGCATTTCAACATAAAAATGTTAAAAATGGCAGTAAGAAACATAAATATTTATTTGCCGGAAGCAAAATTGCGATAAACTGTCGTTTTTATAATTTCAGTCAGTCTTTGAATCACGTTCTTTGGAATTCAAAGATTATTTTTTTATTTATTACAGAATTTTAAACATAACTTGACTTTGAACTTCATTTTATATTGTACAACACGTACATTAACGGGGGACCAGTGTGCCGGATATTTCCATTAAAAACAATATTGTGATTATTTTAGTAAATCAACACATTTCTTTTTGATCTAATAATAACTTTATAAACAGATGATGAAGTAGATTTTTGACAATATTGATCATAAGATCGTAAGATCGAAGAAACATTAAGCAAACTAACTAGCTTTAAAAATCATTCTGAGGAAATATTGGGCCTCCCGTAGATCAGTAGTTAGAGCTATGGAATTAAATAAGAAGTTCCAAGTTTATATAATCTGATGTCAAGCAGTAGTAGATTTTTATCAGGGAATATAAATAGGGGATAGCAGTATGTTACCCTTCAATAACCCTTACCCTATTAATACATCATATTCATATTAATATTAAAACATTTCACACTTCTCAATTTCTTTAGATTTTTTTTTCTTCTCATCGATAATATTGCCATTGTTAACCCACCCAGCTTTCTTCAAAGTATTTTATGCATTTAAAACAGAAATTATTTTCAAGTTATATTTATTTTCTCAAGAACAAAACGCATTGTTTCGAAGGCGCAATACTGTTTCTTGACCCAATATTTAAAAATTCCTATAGACAAGCCTGTTACCGATCATGTAAATGATTTCTTTGCATAAAACAAAACGCGACTTGCGAAACCTGATCAGAATAATAATACGAAAAACTAGATGACGGATCACAACTGTAGGTATATCATGACATTCCTAAAAGTTGATAATGAAAATTTTGAAAGATGGTGATAAACGTAGTAATCACGACAAGATCTTTGTCCTGAAATATTCTATGAAGTTTATTAAT